CGGGAGCTCACAGAGTCCACTCCAGAGCCCGCTCCAGTCCGGGAGGTCTCAGAGCTCATTAAGGATCTCACTCCAATCCGGGAGCTCACAGAGTCCACTCCAGAGCCCACAGTAGATTTTGTTCTGATTATTTGTTACTTTAATAAACTACTGCATTTGGATCTACGTTGTTTTCTCCTGGCATTCCGTGACAATTTCTCAGGAGAAACATCTGTGTCTGTGAAGTATTGTGAATACGGCAAGTACTCTAGCAGATGGTTGAGCTTTAAGAAAAAAAAAAATCCTAGATATCACAGACCGACAAATTTCCTCATCCTCTAATAAAACAGAGTTAAGTTTCCAGTATGAATTATATGTTCTTGAGTAAGAAGATGGGCTATCGAAAGATAAAATTATAGATTTATGGTCAGACAAAGGAGAAGGCAAGATTTCAACTCTATTGACAAAATTGGATAAAGAGTCCGATATTAACCAAAAATCAATTCTAGATCTAAGTGAACCAGAACTGTTAGACCAAGTAAACTGTAAAGCATGAGGATGTTTTTCTCTCCAAATGTCAATTAGGCCAAATCGGGAGATCAAACCACAAAGACCTGATGAACTATCAGACAGTCTAGGTGGTGATCTGTCCAAATTATTATTTATAGTTTGATTAAAGTCTCCACCCAAAAGAATAAACAAATTAGGATATTTAGATTTAAAATACTGTAAATGTGTTTCGATTGAATTAAATAATTTGAGGTTATTTTTTTGTGGAATTAAATCCATAAACGTTACCCAGAACAAAGAAAAGATCATTTAAAGTAACCAATAAAAAAAGAAAATGGCCTTCAGGATCAGATATTGTTTCTATTATCTTACCCCTAAACTTGTGCTTCAAAGAGGGCTGAATTTCATATAAAGATACAATATGAATTAAGCCCGGGATTATTTCTATAAAAGGCTACCTGGATATGCTTGTGGATATCCTCCATATCCTCCCGGAGCTACACCACCTGTAGGAAGAAAAGACAAAAAGATTTAGTTCTGTAACTCAATTGTTCTAAAACACAGTAATTATCAATAGACAAGATTAGTAGACATTATAACTTGTAATCTCGTAAAGTGTAAAGACTTTATTATCTTGGTAAATTTAAGCACAGTTTGAGATCTTTATATCTATTCTGAAATGCCAATGGAGACAAATGTAAGAGTATCTCAGTCTATTTCTCAGGAGAAACATCTGTGTCTGTGAAGTATTGTGAATACGGCAAGTACTCTAGCAGATGGTTTTGGCTGCTGTGTATCTGCATAAGCAGAGAAGTGAATTCTGAAAGGATGGTGCTAGAAAGAATACAGTGACACCAAATCACATGAAGGCTCACAGGATTAATGCAGACAAATCCATGATCCCAGCCTTACTGCAGTGTATGTACATGTGTAATGAGCAGGGCGGTGGTGTTAGGCTGCCTGGTTGACTGGGGGATTCTAGTGTCGAGAGAGTACCGGCATGCCCTAAGACCGAATGGTACAGAAAAATAATTCCTGTTACTAACAGAATCACACATAATTGGCAGAGCTCGGCACCAGCACAGGCCCACTTCAAGCACTGCTTCTGGGTTGTTGAAAATGTTTCCTCGGCTAGCCACATAATTTGCAGTGAAATCTGTGTCTGTAGTACAAACAGTGTGCTAGTCATATATTCAAGAACATGAATAGATGCCAATTAAGATCTGCGTGAAGCAATCAATCTTTGTCCAGTTAATGCTGGGCCTCACCTGGCTGTGCGTATCCTGTACCCAAAGAGCCGTAGCCTGTTGATAGGATTAGATGGGAAACACTCAGCACAATCATAGCTCAGACAACTTAAAAAGAAAAACCCACATTGAATATGTTGTACTTGTTAGATGCACTTCCTTATATCCTTTACAATTCCCCATCAGAGAAGATGTGCAGTTAATTGAAGCTTCAGTGTTAAACTGAAATACGGTGTGGAGTCGTGTTGCAGAACATTAATATTTTGTATGCTTTATTTTGCTACCTGGTTTAGGTGGTTTAGCACCAGTTCCAACACCACCAGCTCCCACACCAACACCTGCTGGAAACCCTCCACCTGCAACAAGATGATCGCAAGGTCTTTAACAACAGTCCAATAACATAACGAAAGCTAATTCAACAGTATGTTCAGTATTTTGAGAGAAACTGTGTTTGTCATGTTACAGAATCAAGGCTGTCCCTGTAGAGGACGTCACAACTGATGTAATTTGCTAGATTATCATCACCTTCAGTCTGGAGTTCAGATTACTAGGAAACACATACCATTAGTTTGCTGCCATAGCACTGAGCTGTTGAAAGACATATTTTCGTACAGTGTCATCTGTTAGGTGAATCTTGATATAAAATTAGCTAATTTTGGTAAAAATTGTAATGATGAAGCTTATACAACATCATGTTGATAAAACACAGGACAATCCTGTCTACCCTCAACACTCTGCATCACAGGATCTGCACTCCCCGCTATCCTTTGGAGTATCTTGAAGGGAAGTCTAAATTACTGTACACTGACTATCCATTAGGACTGGGGTACTTCAGGGTTCAATGCTTGGCCCCCTTCTCTTCGCGATATACACAACATCTCAGAGACCTATTATTATCCTCATAGAAAGATTTGTCCTACCACTGCTACGTTGATGACATGCAGCTCAACTTTTCGCCCCAGTCTGACAATCCTAATGTGGCTGTTTGGATCTCAGTTTACCATCATCCAGGGTGAAAGAACACGGTCTAACAAAGACAGAGCTCCTTTCAAAATGCCATGCAGGCCAGTCAGGAACTTGGGGATAGTGATTGACTGCCCAGTCATGGAGATTTACACACACAAATATCAGGAAAATCACAATCTTCCTAACTGAGCACGATGCACATTATCCAGGCTTTTTGTATGCAAATGAACCAGAATTCGGTTCAATCTTACTCCTCTGTGTAAAACATCACATCCAAGGCACTGACGCTTTGATCCGTTTCTGGAGCCCCCTCCTACCTTCACTAACTAACTGCAAATCCTCCGTACAGAAGTCTACGGTTGGACAGCTGAGTGCCTCCATACCTTCAAGAAAAGTGTAAAAGCCTTGGAAAAGCATTTGACTCATGCATGCATTTGGCATGCATTTTTATTCAAAGAAGGGGCGTAGGTTTGATTTTGACATTGGTGAGGACATAACAGCAGACAACTCCCCCATGCACACACCACCATCCAACTACCCCAACAATTTAGTAGTTGCTGGATATTGGTAGGGACATGTCCCTAGCATGCCTACTAAATTCCACACCCTTTATTCAAAGTGATATATACTGTATTGCTTTAAAAACATGCATTTGATCAGTTCGTGTATTCCCTGGGAACGCAGGACCTTAGTATTGTTAGTTCCATGCACTACTTTTTAAACTACAGGAACACTGCTAAATGATCAAGTATCAAGTAAAGTGGATTTGCATGGCATCTCACCTGCTCCAGGTACGAGTCCAGGAAAAGCCCCTGCCCCTCCAACTCCCCCTACACCTGCGACACTGCCTGCTCCTCCAACAACTGGACCAAACACACATGCACACACCGTGTCAAGTAGGGCACTGAGTCAGCATAAAGTCAGATCCAGATTTGAGAACTCCTCTATGCCTGCATGAACATGACCTTCCAAATAAGATCCAGGTTGAGACATTATTCCAAAAGTCTTACATTTACATGTGTACCAGAAATTCCTATATATGGTAATCAGGATTTTCTGATTAAACTAATACATTCATGTTTACATGCACATTCTTTTACAATGGATCTTGTAAATTCTGAAGATGTTTACATTAACTTAGAATTTCACTAGGTTTAATGCAAATGTTGAATTTCACATATTCGACATCTGGGATATTGTTATAATCTGCTTATAGCAGTCAAGATTTGATCAAGATTTTGACCAGTTAATTCCAATATCTGAATATCCTTGTTCATGTAAACTTCGTTACTGATGCCTGAGTAATCTGTAGCAAAGATACTTATATGGGTATATATTTGATCTTACCAGGGGCTTTCAGAGGTTTGGCTCCAGGTAACACACCAGTTCTGATCCCAGTGCTTCCAGAAAATGGGCCTAAAACAACAGGAGGAAGAAACATTCAGCATGATTTTGACTTTGGTAAGTCTTTAATATGTTTTTGTCTTTAATGATGGACTAATACAATTTACCATAGCCATAAGGATAAAACCCTCCAGGACCTGTAAACACAAAAGTGTACTTTACACTGAAGTCAAATATAGGTGCCTATGGCAAAACTATCAAGGGAAATGGTAATATTTCAGCATATTTACTCAACATTTGTTTGTTTGTTGTTTCTATGTAAACTGTACAGAACAGTGCTTAGCTTTGGGAGCACGTGCATATTCATTTCCCTTTTCATATGACAGAACTTACACTTCCTGGGTTTTACCTAGGGGGAGATTGTTTATATTTCTGTTTTGTCACAGGACTATATTTATCTGTTGCTACAACAAAACTATGTTTTCTGAGTGTATACATCAGGACTTTTTTTACCCTTACACTGAAAGTGCTGTGGAATACGATACATAATATCAGTTGTATCATGGTACTCTGCGAGACTGTAGTACTGAATGATTACATGCTCATTTATTTAAATGGTACACAAAATCTAGCATGGTTTCACCACAGTCATTGTCCAAAAATAAAATGAAATAAAATAAAATAAAATTATTTTTTATCTGATCTATCACGAAAAGCAACTTCAGCCTCACCATTGTGTGTGTGTGTGTGTGTGTGTGTGTTTCCTTGACATCACAGATATTATGAGGACAGAGAACTTTGTCACAAATGATTTTGCCCTGCCCCCTAGTGGTACAACTAAGTAATGCACACATTAAAAAAAAAAAACATTTTACTGTGGATTGTTTCCTGAACATTTTCTCTGTAGAGACTGTATACAACTATACAGCATTGGACTGTGAATTTGGACTTTGACTTCTGATTTTTTTTTCATAGCGTGATTCCAAGTAAATGGGGCAAATGTCACGTTAAACAGGAAGTGGCTGGGTTTTGACAGGGAAGGATACACTGTGTTAAAGGAGGCTATTCAACTTCTCTCACTGCTCAGGATGAATGGTGTATCTGCACCCCAGGAAACAATTCTAGGTAAGTCACACCTCCAGAGTCTAATGTTGTATATTGAGGACTTACCTGCTCCAGGTTTAGAAACACCTGCATTCAAACAGAGAGAGCACAGATGTGTGAGCTGCTGAACACATACTTACTGATGCTGGTAAAACTGCATGCATTCTATCTATTTGTACTCACCAGCACTAGGCAATCTTTGCGCACCACCTGAGTAACAGAACAAGCCATGATTATACGCGTACATCAACAATCAGATGAATGCACAAACACAAGCTACAGCCCAACAATGATCAAAACCCCTAGTGTGTCCAACAGTGAACCACATCTGGGTCATTCTCAGGAAACAGTATCATTTGAGCCCCAGTGACTGACTGATAGAATAACACTGCATATGCTAATGTTTTGACAGATTTAACCCCATTCGTGACCACTGGCATTTAGTGGGTTACATTTAAATTAAATTAAACAAATTTCACCTAAATTTTACTTTTATTGAAATGAAAATATCACTGTGTGTGACTTTATAAAATGCATTTTTGAGAAAATACAGAATTTGTCTTTGTATCTTTTTTTTTTTGTTCAGCCCTGTTATGCTGAGATATTTACCATTTAAAAATTATGACATTTAAAAATAGTCTTTTAACAGCATGGATCAAATAGAAGTAAATGTCTCTTACAGTCTTTATCTGTGTTTAAATAAGGTTACACTTACATTGGCCTGGTCGAGCTCCCCGGTTTATCACTGTGATCACACTTAAAAATTATTGTTCTTATAACAAAGCACAAGAATACTGAGTAAAAAATAAAGGTGTGGTGAAAATATATTTGGTAGCTCAAATACTAACACTGAGTATCAACCACATAACAGGGTTGGCATGGAAAATAATAATTTCACAGTTTTTCTATCACAGATTGTGATTAAAAAGCACCTGGACAAATAAAACAGCATCCTGAGAATGACCCATCAACAGCTGATGAACAACAGATTCTGAATGCGTCTCAACATACGACAGTCTCTGAAGTCTAATTTAATACACAGAAGACTTGGAATCAGGGACCAAAATTAACATTTGGCTTCATCCACCAATGGAGGGTGAAGTAAGAAAAATATCAGCCAATGAAATTGCATTTTGCATTAAATTTGTCTGAATGGCAATGGGAATATTTAATGTTTGTGCATTTGTGTGTATTCGTGTCACTCGCATTCTCATATTTAAGATGATCACGCATCTATCTTAGATTTTGTGTCACTCAAATGTCACCACATGGAGTTCTGGAGAAAAAGAAAACTGATACAAGATAAATGTGTGTGATTTTTCCACTGGGGTTCTTCATGACAGATATGTTCGTCTTTGATTTGATATATTTAAACTATACAGTATATCATGTTGCAATTCCTAATAAAGTCACTTGCCAACTCTGCTTGATTTACCTCTAAGATCCAGTTGTTACCCGCACAGTTAATTTTGGTCCCTGCTTGGAACTAATCATGAGGGCCTTTCGCACCGCGGGAACCTTTTCATAGTACCAGAACTAATTGTGGAACTACCCACTTTTTGGCGTTTTCGCACCGCTGGAACTGGGTGCGATTTTAGTACCGGACTGCCTTTTTCGAGAACCAAATTAGCTCCTACTCTGGAGCAGGGTCTAACCAGCACAACTGGTACTAATCGTGACGTAAGTAGACATTGATTGGCCAAACGCGTATGAAAACGCCCTCACCCGCCATGATTTAAAACGCTGTGTAAACATACTGTAAATTTCGCAAGTATGGAGAACAGCGATAGATGGACGGACGCTGAAGTGCAGGCACTTGTAGCAAATGTAGCACTGCCAGTTGTCGTTGGAGATTCTTAGTCCTCCTTTCCGTTCTTTCAATCGCTTTATGTAAGTTATACGTCGACATTCCATGTCCATTATTGTGAAACCCACGAGACACAACAAAAACACAGCTCCGATCACAGCGTCCTCCATCCTCCTGTTGTTAATGTTCTTCTTTGTTTCTGTTCTTGAACGCCGCGCACAAATGACGTCGCTGTCGACCGGCTTACGGCACTTCCTAGTACACACTGTCGGTGCGAATGCAACCCTTTAAATGGTATTGGGAAATAATTCGCGCAAAATCGTCCCAGTACTTTAGTACTGTACATTTAGTTCTGGAACTAAAGCGGTGCGAAAGGCCCTATATTCTTTCTTAGTACTTAGTGTGCATATTTTGAAGACACAAAACATCACCGGCCAGAGGACCATTCTTTACAGAGAAAAATCCTGCTTCAGTAACACATCTGAGAAAATGCAGATCGGCAAACTCAAGCGCAGATAACAGCAAAGGTTAGAGGGAAAATGAAGGAGCATTAAAGCTAAACGGTAATGGAGTTCCGCTTCATTTAGACAAGACATTTGTACATGCAACACAGTAGATCTTACTGAGCTCAGGGGCCTTGCCAGTTGCTACAATAGCCGTCGGTCCTGCCAAGAAACAACATGTTCCACCTTCAACCCTTGCAGTTTAAAGGCAAGCAGCATAGAGGTGACTAGCTCAGAGGCCAGCGGAGGCAGAAACCAGAGGCTGCTGCTATAACAGGGTGCCATTGTGAAGGGGATGAAGAAAACAAGCTATCAGTCATTATGGGTTTGTAGGGCTAAATTTGATAGATGGGAGGAAAGGAAAATACCAGCAAGCTGACAGGGGGTCGATGACCAGTTACAGGGGGAAGAGACACTTATACATAAGGTCAGCAAACAGATACAGTGATATTATTATCCGTAACAGTTGCCATTTTATCATCTGAACCTCAAAACCCATTTAAATATACTGTGTGTCTGTCTCCCTGTCTTCCAACTAAAAACAACAAAAACCTAGACAAGCTAGACAACATGTTTGGGTGTCATAGGCACATATCTATCATAAAGCTCTCTGAGATTGTTGGTACTGAAATATTGCTACCTTCTCAGATACTTAATTTTAGCCAGATTCACTCCACTATCTTGTCTAGTTATGGCTAACTATCTCTCACCTGGCTCAGCTATAGTCCTGGAGATCACCAGTATTGCCATTCAGACCGTGTACAGCTACATCTAGCAACACTACAGTGAACATTTGGGAGGTACAAGAAGTGTACGACTTCTGCAGTTGCTATTGTGTATGTCTGTATGTTTTTCCCTGATAAAACTGTCCCCGGGAGCTCTAGCAACTGTAAGGCAAGACATTGTAGGTAGCTGTGTTAGCCGGCCCGAGAGTGGTTCGGTACCCCTGGCCAGAGCAGTTAAAGTTATGAGTCTAACCCCTGAGGGGGACCCGATATTAAATTCTAGTCTCTCAGCTGAGGTTGTTGAGACCATTTTTGATTATTAGAACTCCCTCTATTCGGAAAGTATATGCTCTGGAGTGGCAGCCTTTCACATCATGGTGCAAGCAGCATCATTTGGATCCAGTTCACTGCCTGGAACTTTCTGCATACGCAGATTGACAGCACATCATTGGGGAGATACTTCCTAATTTCTCGTGTTTTACATAAGATCAGATGTGACTGTGGCCTCTCTTCCCAGCGAGAGCTCCTTCTTGGACCTATCTGTTGTCCTAGAAATGTTTATCAGACCCTCTTTTGAACCTCTAGAGTCAGTTTCTGAGGATTGTCCTAGTGGAGGGTGGCTGAATCCTGTCCCTGGAGATCTACCTACCTGCAGAGTTCAGTTCCACCCCTGCTCTAACACACCTGTCTGTAATTATCAAGTCCATTTTGCAGTATGGCATAGTGGTTATACAGTTCCCCATGGTGTCAGCAGGGAACGTCTTGGATACGTATGTAACCCTGGTTCCCTGAGTAGGGAACGAGACACTGCGTCTCATTGCTATACTTCAGGCAGGCCTGCGCGTCTTCCTTCAGACAATCAGAATCTGAGGATGTGATGATGAAGATGGCCTTTTATGGTCTAGTTGATGCAGAGCGCTGTGTCAGCTGACCTCTTCGTCCGCCAATGGTGTGATTGCACACATGCTTCAGACACTGTCATGCAGAGGGCATTCCCCATAGTGTCATCTCATGATGCAGCAATTTGTTCTCTACTCAGGTTTACATACTTGTAAAGGGGATGTTATTGATTAAATGTGTATTCTTTATTTCATTAAAGGTTTTGTCTGTGAAATAATGGATATGCTTAATTTTGAAAGAACTATAATTCTGACCCCAGTTCACGGTTCACTATAATTTGTATGTATGACTGTTTGCAGAAAACCGTTGCAAACAGTTGTACATTATTTGAATGAACTACTACTTTCTTTGGCAACAAACTGAAATGTAATTAACAGTGCATAGAGATCGCCCATTTATCAAACAGAATCAATTTTTTTTACCTGGTACAGCAGTCCCTTCAGGAGCCAGGGTTGGAAGCTTTGCTGTGGAACAAACACATTAGTGCAAATCAAGCATGACATACTATGTGCTTCATGGCGTTTGGTGGAGTAAGGCTATTTGTCATACCTGGTTTTCCACTTGGTGCAAAGGGCAGACCAGTACCACCAGGAACACCAATACCTGTGCCACCCGGTACGACCACCACATCACCACCAGGTGTTGCACCAGGAGCTGCTATACCAGTTCCAGTGATCCCAGCACCTAGCAGACAATGAGAAGAAGTGCTTCAGGTGGTATCTATTATGTTGCATTACAAAAAGCATGACAAAAGGCAGGTAAACACAGGTTTAGATGGAGCAGCTTATAAAGAAATATATGAAGCTAATACTTTACCAATTTTAGGAGGTTTGACTCCACCAGGATATCCTGATAACATTAAAATAAGTCTTATTGATTGCTAGTGATTATAATTTCACATTGATAGTGACCTGAACATGGGTCAGTTGAATCACGTACCTCCAACCCCGACTCCTGGTGTCAGTCCTGTCCCAGTTCCAGGCAGTGGTGCTCCTGCTGCACCAGGTACCGTACCTGCACCTCCTGCAACTCCTGCAGGCAAACCATGTGACCATGCAAATTTAGTTAGCTTTTATTAGGCTACTGACATGTTAGGAACCTCAATTGAATGTATATGATTTGAATTTTTCAAATGTGCTATTCAGTTGTTTTTGTGTAAACAAGCTAAATATAAAACCTTAAAATACCTTTTTAGATAAACATATAAAATGTTAATCTCTCACCATATTTTGGAGGTTTAACTCCTGCTGGATACCCTGCAATAGCATAAATTCATGTTAGAGAATTAATCTTTTAGATCACAATTAATGATATATAATGCTTGCTTAATTATTATGATAATTTAGTTAAATTAAAATATTTTAAATGTAAGACTTTTAGGATTTAAGCACAAGTGAACCGTAATTTTAAGTGACAAATGTTTTGAATAAATGGTGCAACTATATATATAATAAAAATGAAAGGAGACCTCCAGGTACTCCACCAGGTACTCCACCAGGTACCCCGCCTGGTACTCCACCTGGAACACCTGCCCATGGATGAGATTTGTCATAAACTCGCTCCTGCAAGCTCACACTCATCTGTATACACTTTTGAAAGCCACACCCACATCTCAACATCCAATCAACAACCAAGGCATAGAACCAAACCACACTCTACTTTCCCCCCCTCTTTTTTTATAGTCCATTACATTTGGATGTGCATTACCGAAATCTGTCACTACTTCTGTTATGTCGTGATTTTAAGAGGCCTAAGAAGTCCTGCATACGCCGCCAGTGAGAAGACTGTTGTTTTCCAGTTATGACAGTTATGACAAATCCTGGTCCTGGGGGCCCACCGCTCTACACATTTTGAATGTCTTTTTTCTCTGACACACTATAGTTTCTATAGTATACTAAGACTCATATTTGCAATAAAAATGAAAACAATTTACCGTATTTAGGTGGTTTTACCCCAGTCCCATATCCTGTGAAAATATTAAATCTGCTTTTACTTTGGGTAAAAAGCATCTGTACAAATGCACAACTGAGAAAATATTTCATATAATAACGGCTAACAACTTTTCCACTTATTTCTCATTTAAGGTAACAGTCATCAGCCGACAATTCTCAGCATAACAAATTCCTAACCACCTACTGTACCACTCAAATGCAAGTCTGTGCTCTACCATTTCTCTCCTTTCACAGAGGTTTCTAAACATATCTACTAACACCTGCTCCATCACTGTATTCCTCTCCATCTTCTATAATAATTTATCTTTTTCCTCTCGTAGAACAGCCTGCTTGACAACAGTTCTTCAGCATAAAAAGCAGACATTCAAGGGAGACTGTATTTCTATCCATCGTCCTGTGACATCGTCTCCTGGTTTGAGTCCTATTGTACCATGTATTGTACCTATTGTCAGAACCCCATCCACTTCTTGATATTGTGACGGATCGGCTGCCTCCCCCCTAATTATCATCATCACCCCATCCCTTAATCACCGCCCTTCACCAGGCTCTCGACAGGAGGTGTGTGAGAGAGAAGGGGTGCAGAAACGGCCAGGTCTGGCGGCGTGTGATGAGGCACACCTGAAGTGAATCGAGCCTCTTCACAGCCACTGTTAAAACCCGAGCGCGCCTCTCCTCGAGAGACCGGTCTCTTCCCCCTGTGCATGCACGCTGGTGTCCTCGTGGGTCCAGAGAGGGGAGCGCGTGCGGCCGCCGGACTCCGCCCCCTACCTGGACCCCTCCTTACTGAACACTGCCCTTCCTTAACAATTCCCCGGCACAACGAGGACACTAGATCCCCTGTTTATTTTGGACGCTATTTCCCCTTCAGACACTTTATTCCCGTTTTGGACATTTTATGTTTATTTTCTGTTAAATAAAAGCCTCTCCGTCGTTTGCTACTCCCACCACAAGATACACAACTACACTGGCACCTATCATCAAGTTAGATGGTTTTTCCCTCCACTGCTATCCTGACATGCAGTCTTATGATCACACAGTGACTGCATATTAACTTGCCTCAGCTGGGATGCAACTACACCATCACCAACTAGTGCTCCAGCTACACCAACTCCAACTTTTAGTGAAGACTGAGCTCCTTGTCTTCCTGGCCAGTCCAATTCAGCACACCATCATCATTAATCTAGGCTTGTCAACAATATAAGGTAACTTTACAATAAAAGGAATATCAGACTCTTAGACCCTTCTTATCTGAAGATCCTACCCTTCCTATGCAGTGGCACATTTGGTGTTCAGTGAACTCAAGAGAGAGACTCCATGTTACACCTCTTTTGTCTCATTCCATGGGGTGCAAGTCTCTGCCTGCATCGAGTCAAAGCTCTGATGCTTAGCTACTTGCTTGTACATTTCTGAGCAAGTTTAGAACACCGCAAGTATTTACTTGTTGTTGTCTAATGAGGATTAATGTTGTAGCGAACTGGCTGAATATTTGGAAATGTAATAATTTACCTCCATATCCAGTTCCTGTTCCAACTCCACCTGGGAGTCCACCAGCTCCACCCAAACCTAAGGACAGCAACGACACAAGGAAGGACATTTTATCATAACTTGTATATTCTGGAGAAATGGAATATATTTAAAAGTTGCGGGGCATTAGTGTCACGTTTTAGTAAAAGTAGATGAGAGTAAAAATGAAAACATGTTCAGCAAAATTCTCTGCTTTGATATTTTAAATATAATAATATAAATAAAAATACCCAATAAAAAATGGGTATTGGAAAAATTTAATAAACCAAAATTTTATAAAGCAAAATAAAAGATAAATCATTTCCAAATCTCAAGTCTATGTAACTGCTCTTTAGGTCTTGTATGTCTACCCATTTTACCAGTCAGCAGACAAAGGTAGTGAACAAACCATCTCAAATGTCTGCAGCGGAACTGTAGTTTGCTTATAATGCTTTATTTCCATTTTATCCATAATTACTAATATCTATTACAAGCCACAGATATGCCACAGAACTAAACAAATAGTGCTGATTTGCATACCTGTATAGTTTGAAGGTCAATTTGTTACACCTGAGCATAATAATCCCCGACTGTTTTTACCTTACTTAGGGCTTGTAATTGTGCTCCAGCCCCAGTTCCATTCCCATAACCCATAAAACAAAAAGTGGTGCCAGTACTTTCACAGCAGCAAGCTTAATTTGAGTGAAGCCATGTATTAATGAGACAAATATGCTCGGTCATGGTTTCAGTCCATTGAACATCAGCTACATTTTTAAACATTTTCAAACATTTAAGACCAAACTGTTTCAAGGAACACATTTACAGTACAAAAATGGATTTATGTTTTCAAACGCGAAAGTCATTTAACAGGTTTTTTGATTTGGGGTTGCAACAGACTCCTCAAATATTAAATCGAAAAAAAAAATATTGTACAGTGCAAACCAGGAAAAAGAAAATTACTGAATAAAAAATTAAATCCATGCAGTCTCTAAATGAAAACCCTGTTGATCACCTCAGTTCAAACTCAATAATGTATTTTGTCACTTGTTTTAATAACCATATTTACTCACAATATAAACAGTTGTTATAGTCATAGTAACTCTGCTCACTGAAAGCCATTTTTGCTTACCTGGTCTCTGGAGTCCAGACACAACACCAGTCCCTCCTGGTAAACCACCACCAGCACCCAAACCTAGACAAATATTTTTTTTTATTTAGAGCTAAATTCAAGGTTCCTAAGATCTGGTTTATATGTATAATCAAGTAATATAAATACCATATTTAAGAGCCTTGGCACCAGCAGGGTATACTTAAACAGAGAAATATGAACAGTTGAGCAAAAAATACGTGCTGAGGTCCATGCACTTTAATCCAAAAAAAAAAAAAAAAGAATGAATTCTTTTGACTTTTATATTTCATCATGCTTTTATGCAGAATCAAGCCGTGATACCTCCTGCTCCAGTTATTGGTACTCCTCCAGGCACTCCTCCTGGAACTCCTCCAGGCACTCCTAAGGTAACAATAACATAATCTTTGACCAAACAATACTCTACTGACAATCCTGTATTTACGTACAGGATTATAGGTCAAATATTTTTATATTATAATGTCAACACAATTTTCTATTACAAAATTCCAGTGCAAACGGAAAAAAATAAAAATAAATAAATAAAATACAATTGGATTTATCTTACATAGCATTGCCAATGCACCTAAATCAGTGTCTTAGAAAAGAGTCAGACCCATACCATATTTAGGAGGTTTGGCGCCAGCTCCTAGCCCTGAAAACATTTATCACTATTACTGAACATCAACCAAAAATAAACTACTATGAGAAACAAAATTAGCTTAACTGACAAACAACAGTTGTGAGAAATTGAGACAGTTGAACATATACAGACCTCCAGCACCAGGCACAGCTCCAGGAACTCCTCCGAACCCAGCAACAGAACCGTAGCCTGGGACAACACTGGCCCCTCCTGCTCCTCCTACAGACATGACATGTGCAGCCATGCAGTGTCAATTTATTTCTTTAGATTTTATTATAACATACAAGATGTGTGGTAAAAGCATTTTGAAACTGCTATTTCAGAATAATAGCACTTTCTACTTATTACCAATTATCCCAAGTCCTCCACTTGTACTGATTCATTTTTGAAAAATATACTTCCCTTATCTTACTCGCTCATTCAAAAGTACCATGACAAACCATGTTTTTTTTCCATATATAATATGGCATGTTATTTAATGATTACCTTACTCATGTACCATTGTATTTACATGATTCTTCAAGGTACTTCAAAGAACACGTACTAAGATTAAAGCACTAGCAGCAGCACCAAGCTCTTGTTATTGTCCAGGCTCCCCAGTCTACTCAAGCCTGTACTGTACATACAGTACCTGAATCAAGTTATGCACCTATAAACTATAACTGGAAGATAATTAGATTATTAAAGATTATTAGATTATTATTACTAGATTATTACATCCAATATACATGTGTAAAAGCTCTTACCATATTTAGGAGGCTTCACTCCACCTGGATACACTAAAAAAAAAAGGAATTTGTAAAGTCATTTCGAGAATTATTATTTCATGGATTTTTAACACTGGATTAACACTTCATTATTAGCAAAAATTTAACCTGATGACATGAATTGTAGGTTTCATCAGATGCAATATTAATGTAGTGTAAAACTCACCTCCAGCCCCTGTTGCTGTTCCAGGGATTCCTCCAGCTCCCCCCACTACTCCACCAACTGGTGCACCTTTTCAAAATATTTTAATAAAATAAGCAGTAACCATTGTACTACTTTGGGATATTAAAATCCATTCAGTAACTTTTTAGTGACCGGATCTTAAGAACATCTAGTATGTATGTATGTATGTATAGTGGCCAATTTTGGAACCGACATAGACAGAAAGAGATTGCATGACCAAAATGTAAAGCTTTTTAATGTGATGTTTAGGGACATGTACATGTGAAATCAGATACATCTGAAATCTGAAGGCAAAGCAGAGTATACAGTTGTATTCATGGATATTTTGTTTAGTGGTGCCTCAGAATTTTGTCTAAGTGCCTCAAAAAACATTTCGATTGTTTGTTCCCACTCACCTCCAGCTCCAGGGTACAGTCCTCCAACACCAGGTACAACACCAGTTCCAGCTGCCCCACCCAAACCTAGAAGATCAAGGGGGAATCCATTACACTTTGCTTTGTATCTGTGGACTTAGAATAAATTATTCAAATCTCTGTGAAGTTCCACCACATACAAAGAACTGTTACCGTATTTAGCAGCTTTTGCTTGAGCAGGAGTAAGACCTTAGAAAGAAGAAATGGTTTTGAGACTCTATAACCATTACAATGTTTTAATATTCTTCAAGATATTTTGAACAGACAGACAGATTTTTTTTTTACCTCCCGTTCCAGGATAGACCCCTCCAGCTCCTGGCACAATCCCAGCTCCACCAGGAACTACTCCTGCACCTGGAACAAAGCAGGACCATGATCTCTCAGTTTGACATTTCCGATGCTATATCTCAGGGTTCTTCAATCCTGCTTCTGTCTGGTGACGTAGGTCTGCGCGCGTTTCTATATACAAAGTACGAAAATTTCGGACTTGCGTCCTCGGTAGTTCGGAGTTCGCAAGTTCGAGTCAGGAGTGTGAACTCCCGCAGACGGGACGATGCAAGTCCGGTAATTCTGCAAAGAGCAGCGCACTTGATAACATCAGTCAGCTCACCTTGGCTACAGCAATTTTCCTCAGTGTATTTACAATAAGATGAAATATGATATCAAACACCACTGCCTCTTTTCGGTTTCATTTAAACATATTAATAGCCACAGAAATGTAGTTCAGGGAACCTACATACAATGAAACAAAATATATCAAACAATATTGCCTCTTTTAATTTTCATTTTAACATATTAATAGATTAATAGAATAATAGAATAAAGACCAAAGATTACCTGTTAGATTTACCAAAAACAAATTAAATCTTATGTTTAACCACTACAGAGACATCAGAGCCAGCGGCAAATGTCAGAAGGACTAGCTGAGTTGAGGCAGCTCTCGTCTGGAAACATGAGCACTGAGCGCCCGCTGATCGCCTGGAGCTCACGTCTCTGAAATCAGCGAAGCACATTTTCAAATAGGCGCTATCTTTATAAATAAACCGTAGATTTGAGTTTTAAACAACTACATTCTCGCCTGAAATACATTTAAAACTACATTTCATGACAAAATAACAGTAATATTTGTAAAAATTATGCGAATATGGTGGTTGAAATACAATGCTGCATAAACTCAACCAATCAGCAGGCTCGGCACCCAAGTCCCGCCCCCGAAAGTTTTGGACTTTTGAAAAAGTACTACCTCACAAGCAGGGACATTTTGAGGGGCAAATTTTTACCCGGAACTTTATTTAGATCCTGGTTCCTGCGGTGGAAACAACCCGAGTACCAGCCCAAAGTCCCTAGTTCCTGGGCAAAGTTCCTGCGGTGGAAACGGGGCTATTGATTGGCTTTTTTGGGTGTTTGATTTGGGTTGAAGCTACAGTACTTGGGTTGAAACTGTCCAGGACAGTGGTCCTCCAATAGCAGAATTGAAGAACCATGCTATATCTGAATAAGGTATATGATTACCGTATTTAGCCGCTTTTGCTTGGGCAGGAGTAAGACCTTAGAAAGAAAGAAATGGTTTTGAGACTCTATGATGACCATTATAATGTTTTAATATTCTTCAATATATTTTGTACAGACAGACAGATTTTTTTTTTACCTCCCGTTCCAGGATAGACCCATCCAGCTCCTGGCACAATCCCAGCACCACCAGGACCAATCCCAGCCGCACCAGGAACTACTCCTGCACCTGGAACAAAGCAGGACCATGGTCTCTCAGTTTGACATTTCCAATGCCATATCTCAGTGTTCTTCAATCCTGCTTCTGGAGGACCACTGTCCTGTAGAGTTTAGTTCCAACAATGCCTGTAATTTTCTAGTAATCATAAAGGCATTAGCCGCTTTTCCACCGAAATTAACTGGAACAATTTGTACCAGGAACTTTTTTCCCCCAGACCTGTTGCTGTCTGCTTTTCTATTGCGGTCCAAAGTATCGAGAAGATTAGGCAAATTGTCTGGTGACGTAGGTCTGTGTGCGTTTCTCAATACAAAGTACGCAAATTTCGGACTTGCGTCCTCGGTAGTTCGGACTTCGCAAGTTCGACTCGGGAGTGTGAACTCCCGCAGACGGGACGACGCAAGTCCGGTAATTCGGCAAAGAGCAGCGTACTTGATAATATCAGTCAGCTCATCTTGGCTACAGCAATTTTCCTCAATGTATTTACAATAAGATGAAATATGATATCAAACACCACTGCCTCTTTTCGGTTTCATTGTGTACTTGGGTACTTTTAAAACTACATTTCATGACACAATAACAGTAATATTTAAAAAAATTATGCGAATATGGTGGATGAAATACAATGCTGCTTGAACTCAACCAATCAGCATGCTCAGCGCCCAAGTCCCGCCCCCGAAAGTTCCGGACTTTTTAAAAAAAGTACTACCTCGCGAGCAGGGACAACAGGGCCTTTCGCACCGCGGGAACCTTTTCATAGTACCAGAACTAATTGTGGAACTGCCCACTTTTTGGCGTTTTCGCACCGCCGGAACTGGGTGCGATTTTAGTACCAGACTGCCTTTTTCGAGAACCAAATTAGCTCCTACTCCGGAGCAGGGTCACTGTAAACTTTGTGTCAACTTATTTCGCAAGTATGGAGAACAGCGATAGATGGACGGACGCTGAAGTGCAGGCACTTGTAGCAAATGTAGCACTGCCAGTTGTCGTTGGAGATTCTTAGTCCTCCTTTCCGTTCTTTCAATCGCTTTACGTATACGTCGACATTCCATGTCCATTATTGTGAAACCCGCAAGACACAACAAAAACACAACTCCGATCACAGCGTCCTCCATCCTCCTGTTGTTAACGTTGCTCTTCTTTGTTTCCGTTGTTGAACGCCACGCACAAATGACGTTGCTGTCGACCGGCTTATGTCACTTCCTAGTACAGACTGTCGGTGCGAATGCAACCCTTTAAATGGTACTGGGAAATAGTTCGCGCAAAATCGTCCCAGTACTTTAGTACTGTACATTTAGTTCAGAAACTAAAGCGGTGTGAAAGGCACTTTTCTGAGGGGCAAATTTTTATCCGGAACTTTATTTAGATCTTGGTTCCTGCGATGGAAACAAACCGAGTACTGACCCAAAGTCCCTAGTTCCCTGGGGAAAGTTCCTGCGGTGGAAACGGGGCCATTGATTGGCTTTTTTGGGTGTTTATTTGGGTTGAAGCTACAGTACTTGGGTTGAAACTCTGCAGGACAGTGGTCCTCCAGGAGCAGAATTGAAGAACCATGCTCTATCTGAATAAGAAGGATCCTAAATATGGGTATATGATTACCGTATTTAGCCGCTTTTGCTTGGGCAGGAGTAAGACCTTAGAAAGAAAGAAATGGTTTTGAGACTCTATGATGACCATTATAATGTTTTAATATTCTTCAAGATATTTTGTACAGACAGACAGATTTTTTTTTTACCTCCCGTTCCAGGATAGACCCATCCAGCTCCTGGCACAATCCCAGCACCACCAGGACCAATCCCAGCCGCACCAGGAACTACTCCTGCACCTGGAGCAATGCAGGACCGTGATCTCTCAGTTTGACATTTCCAATGCCATATCTCAGGGTTCTTCAATCATACTTCTGGAGGACCACTGTCCTGTAGAGTTTAGTTCCAACAATGCCTGTAATTTTCTAGTAATCATAAAGGCATTAGCCGCTTTTCCACCGAAATTACCCGGAACAATTTGTCCCAGGAACTTTTTTTCTCCCAGACTTGTTTCTGTCTGCTTTTCCATCACGGTCTTAAGGCATCGAGAAGATTAGGCAAATTGTCTGGTGACGTAGGTCTGTGTGCGTTTCTCAATACAAAGTACGCAAATTTCGGACTTGCGTCCTCCGGATTGTGCTGCAAATTAGGCCGATTTATAGGCAGGTGCATCTGTGGGTAGCTAAGCGTTGTTGTGGAACGCAGTACCGGAGAATCTGGCCATTTCTCAATACCAAGTACACAAATTTCGGACTTGCGTCCTCGGTAGTTCGGACTTCGCAAGTTCGACTCGGGAGTGTGAACTCCCGCAGACGGGACGACGCAAGTCCGGTAATTCGTCAAAGCGCAGCGTACTTGATAACATCAGTCAGCTCAGCTTGGCTACAGCAATTTTCCTCAATGAATTTACAAGAAGATGAAATATGATATCAAACACCACTGCCTCTTTTCGGTTTCATTTAAACATATTAATAGTCGCAGAAATGTAGTTCAGGGAACGTACATACATTACAATGAAACAAAATATATCAAACAATATTGCCTCTTTTAATTTTAATTTTAACATATTAATAGATTAATAGAATAATAGAATAAAGACCAAAGATTACCTGTTAGATTTACCCAAAACAAATTAAATCTTATGTTTAACCACTACAGAGACATCAGAGCCAGCGACAAATGTCAGAAGGACTAGCCGAATTGAGGCTGCTCTCGTCGGGAAACATGAGCAACTGAGCGCCCGCTGATCGCCTGGAGCTCACGTCTCTGAAATCAGCGAAGCACATTTTCAAATAGGCGCTGTCTTTATAAATAAACCGTATATTTGAGTTTTCAACAACTACATTCTCGCCTGAAATACTTTTAAAACTACATTTCATGACACAATAACAGTAATATTTTAAAAAAATTATGCGACTATGGTGGATGAAATACAATGCTGCGTGAACTTAACCAATCAGCATGCTCAGCGCCCAAGTCCCGCCCCCGAAAGTTTTGGACTTTTGAAAAAGTACTACCTCACGAGCAGGGACTTTTTGAGGGGCACATTTTTACCAGGAACTTTATTTAGATCCTGGTTCCTGCGGTGGAAACAAACCGAGTACCAGCCCAAAGTCCCTAGTTCCCTGGGGAAAGTTCCTGCGGTGGAAACGGGGCTATTGATTGGCTTTTTTGGGTGTTTGATTTGGGTTGAAGCTACAATACTTGGGTTGAAACTCCAGTGGTCCTCCAGGAGCAGAATTGAAGAACCATGCTCTATCTGAATAAGAAGGATCCTAAATATGGGTATATGATTACCATATTTAGCAGCTTTTGCTTGGGCAGGAGTAAGACCTTAGAATGAAAGAAATGGTTTTGAGACTCTATGATGACCATTATAATGTTTTAATATTCTTCAAGATGTTTTGTACAGACAGGCAGATTTATTTATTTTTTACCTCCCTTTCCAGGATAGACCCCTCCAGCTCCTGGCACAATCCCAGCACCACCAGGACCAATCCCAGCCGCACCAGGAACTACTCCTGCACCTAGAACAAAGCAGGACCATGATCTCTGAGTTTGACATTTCCAATGTTATATTTCAGGGCAGGGGCTCTTGCAGGATTTCATTAGAGGGTACGCACAGACTTTTTTTTTTTTTGGTCAAAGACAGCACTTAAATGTTCAATTCAATATCTTGAGTAACTATTACACATGTCTTTAAGACTTGAGGACCAAATGATCAGTGACAGCAACACCGAGCAGAACGGAGGTGTCTCGCGTTTTAAACCTTTTAAAAATGGCACGAAAACAGCAAAATGATAAAATACATCCATCAGCATGCTCACAGCTATTAAACAACAACAGAGCACAAAACAATGCTAATGAAGTGGATATTCATGATTGAAAAAAAAGAAACTGAAAATAGCCTACTGTAGGTGCGAATGACCGCTTATTCATGACACAGCTTAATTTTCTCAGTTAGCCTGTCAATAAGTAGCCTTTTGTTTCAGTTATTTGTAGGTGTTGCTTTGCAGTTATTAAAGAGATAGAGAGGAAGAGGAAGAGAAAGAGAAAGAGCGTGTTTTTTATTTTAGTTGCTTGCGTGTAAATGTCTTGTGTGTGAGAAAGACAGAACACGCTGTCCACAGATCAGTGGTTCCCCTTCAGGAACTCGAGATGCGTCGGAAAACGTTTTGGGAACGCCTTCAGTCTTATTTAGTGTCGCTTGTCCACTTAAGACCATTATGTCTAGCTTGAGCCAAAAAGAAGCATTTGGGCTAGAGCAGACAACGTCCAGGCTGTGAGTTCCTCCCTGCCCGTGCTATATTTCGGGTGGGGACACACACAGTTTGTGTGTTGTCTGCTTGGGAGCGAAGCACGCAGAGTCAGCTCTTGAGGGAGGGTTGGAGATGGGCTCTCCTTATCTGCACCCGCGTTCCCTAGATCTAGCGCTCTCTCTCGAGGTTCGGAAGCCCGTGCTGCGGTTTCTTCCCCCTCTGAGTGAGAGCTGGCTGCTGCAGCTATCTTTCTCCGAGGAGATTGATATTGTTTGTGTGGCCGAGCGTCTCGTGCGCTGCCGAGGCAATGCGTGCATTACACCATTTTCGGTTTTGATATGAATCTTATCACTCCAGACCGTGTTTACTTGTCTGGTTGTTTGGCTGCATTTTATTCTGAGGAACTACAATGAAGTATTTCTTCTGACTATGAGAAGTTAGATATACAGGATCTCTTGGAAAATAAATAAAAAAAAATTTCTCGAGTGAGAGCACGCGTTTACCTCTCTTCCTCCGAGGAGGTTAAGGTGGTGAACAGGGGCTGCTGGGGGGGAGCAGCCCCAACCAACCATGTTCCAGGTCCTCATGTAGGGAGCGTCACTTCTCATACTCCTCAGAATTTAGAGTCAGAATGACACTCCCGGGCTGAAGGCTTCTAGCGGAAGGCGGATCTGCGGACCGTCATTCTTGCTGGATAGTCTTTGACTAAAACATCCTGACGCCTAGGGCCCAGGACTTCTGAGGGCCGGCCCCCTCTGGGGAAGAGCGGTGTACACCTCATTATACGGTGCCCGTCTCTCCTCAGTTCCCTCAGGAGATCGATCTGCCAACCCTGCCATCTACGGTACTTCAGGGTGCAGCAGTCTCCGGCGAGCGCTTCTCTCAGTCACTGCCTGGAAAATGTAGCGGTACTAAGATGCTCGCTACCTCTTCGGAGGTTTCTAGAGCAGCTAGTTCGGCCATTCCCTGCCGGTCCGCCGCTTCAGGGCACCGACCTAGCCGCTCTAAGTGCACCAGAGGCCAGTCTCGAGAGACTGGTTCCCTTAGTAGGTCACCTGGCGGTGTGGGAGCCCCTGCCAAGCATGTCTCATTGGGTCCTGCCCCGAGCAGGCTCTGGTTCTATAAGTCTAGTCTTCCTAGGAGATGACGCGGGCCTGAGGACCGTCGTTTTCAATAGGAGACATCAGCTAAGAGAGTCCTGATGCCATGGCTCAAGACTTCGGAGGGCAGGCCCCTCTGGGGAAGAGCGGTGTACACCTCATTATAAGGTGCCCGTCTCTCCTCAGTACCCTCAGGAGATCGTTTTGCCAACCCTGCCCCCTACGGTGCTTCAGGGCGCAGCGGTCTCCGGTGAGCACTTCTCTCAGTCACTGCCCGGAAACGTAGCGGTACTAAGAGGCTCGCTACCTCTTCGGAGGTTTCTAGAGCAGCTAGTTCG